CTGCTTTTTAAGATGCTGTCTAAGTTTGTCATTGCTTTTCTCCCAAGAAGCAGGTGTCTTTTAATTTCGTGACTGCTGCCACCCTCTGCAGTGATCATGGAGCCCAAGAAAGTAAAATCTCTCACTGCCTCCATTTCTTCCCCTTCTGTTTGCCAGGAGGTGATGGGACCAATCCTACATGGTTAATAAAACATTAGCTAGATTTTATTTTAGCTAGATTTTAACATATTAATCTAACAATTCCATCAGTTTAAATATTTCAGTGCTATGTTTTTCAGGGTTTACAGTGTAAGGGGAAATGGTACATTTGGAGTGAACAGATTATTGTCTGTCTCAACCCACTAATTCTAACTTGTTTCCCCGGGCACTGCTTTCATAGCGAGAGGGCATGCATATATTTTAAATCAAGTTCTCTCTGTGTAAGCAGCCACAATTGTGTGCTTCTAAGGATGCTGAACACTTTTCCCCCCTTCCCTTTTGCAAAATGGCAATAACAGTTACCGGCTGATTAAGGAAAACATTGCTGCGGATCATTCTAATTGATTTGAATGCATGTGTTTTTCCTTATTGGTTTAGTTGGAGGGGTCTATTTAAACAAATAGCACTGTCATTCTGAACCGTAATTAGATAATAAATTAATAGATAAATGGATTAGAAAGTTCACTCACTCCTGCTCAAAGCATAAGAATGAGCTGCTCAGTATTTGCAATGCTAATAAATGGCTTAAGGAATGAACTTGGGAAGAAGGAAGATATGGAAATGGAAAACTAGTGAGGATAACTTTACCATCTCCGTGGACTTGGAGATGGTAAATGTCATACCTGGTTGAAGTTCTAGAGCAGGGGTCAGCTACCTTTTTCAGCCATGGGCCGGTCCACCGTCCCTCAGACCATGTGGTGGGCTGGACTATATTTTGGGAAGAAGAAAAAATGAACGAATTCCTCTGCCCCACAAATAGCCCAGAGATGCATTTTAAATAAAAGCACACATCCTATTCATGTAAAAACACCAGGCAGGCTCCACAAATAACCCAGAGATGCATTTTAAATAAAAGCACACATTCTACTCATGGACAAACATGCTGATTCCCGGACTGTCCATGGGCCGGATTGAGAAGGCGATTGGGCCGCATCCGGCCCATGGGCCTTAGGTTGCCTACCCCTGTTCTAGGAGAAGGAAAATATTTGGGAGATGAAAAGGTTAAGGAATAAACCCTACGAAAGTCCCTAAGACGGTTGGATGGCACCTTGTACACCTCCTTCCAGCAACTCCTTCTGATAAGCTGGTGTCAAATGCTTGCTCTGCTTTCCCACATCCATGAGGCCGATAAGGTCTTGTCATCTGGGCAGCCCAGGACCTCCAGACACACTGCCCAGGCTTGCTCCCCAGGTTGGTCCCTTCGGTGCTGCTAACACAGTGGTTTGACGTCACCCCTGGAGGAACACCCCGTTGTCTCTCAAGACAGACAGATGCCAACAGCTGAATCCCGTTGGTCCTCTGTAACATGTGGAGCAACTAACAGCCCTCCTCTAGATCATCTCAATGACTGAGCAGTCAAATGAGGGTTCAGGGAGTCCTTAAGGTATCCTGCCTCCAGGGCTTTTCATGTTGATACAAGAACCTTGAACTTGGCTTGGTAGCCTAAGAGCAGTCAGTGCAGGACTTTTAGCAGAGGCGCCCCATGCTGCCAGCTGTCCGCCCCCATTAGAAGAGGAAGAAGGAAAACCTAGGCACTAGTTCTTAGGGTGTTTCCAGACCGTTGCTATTTTTGTAATAATAATAATAATAATAATAATAATAATAATAATAATAATAATAATATATTATTTGTACCCCGCCCATCTGGCTGGATTTCCCCAGCCACTCTGGGTGACTTCCAATAGAACACTAAAATACAATAACCTATTAAACATTAAAAGCTTCCCTAAACAGGGCTGCCTTCAGATGTCTTCTAAAAGTTTGGTAGTTATTTTTCTCTTCGACATCTGGTGGGAGGGCGTTCCACAGGGCGGGTGCCACCACCGAGAAGGCCTTCTGCCTGGTTCCCTGTAACTTGGCTTTTCGTAGCGAGGGAACCGCCAGAAGGCCCTCGGCGCTGGACCTCAGTATCCGGGCTGAACGATGGAGGTGGAGACGCTCCTTCAGGTATACTGGACCGAGGCCGTTTAGGGCTTTAAAAGTCATCACCAACACTTTGAACTGTGCTCGGAAATGTACTGGGAGCCAATGTAGGTCTTTCAAGACCGGTGTTATATTGTCTCGGCGGCCGCTCCCAGTCATCAGTCTAGCTGCTGCATTCTGGATTAGTTGTAGTTTCCACATCACCTTCAAAGGTAGCCCCACGTAGAGTGCATTGCAGTAGTCCAAGCGAGAGATAACTAGAGCATGCACCACTCTTGCGAGACAGTTATACAAATTTAAATAATAATAATAATGAGAAGAAGAAGAAGAAGAAGAAGAAGAAGAAGAAGAAGAAGAGGAAGAAGAAGAAGAAGCAGCAGCAGCAGCAGATCATCTGGAAACACCTTGGGTTATAAAGCACTTATAACAGCCCATTTCAATGGAAACAGTTAATGGAGAGGCAGAGGCTGTGGAACTGCTTCTCTTCTGCTACAGCCTGCTGGAATGGGTGCTGCCAGAGAGGAGCCTGATGGAGCTGCTTTCTCAAGTGAGCTGACGGTGGCCCCAATTCTCTTCACTTCCTCAGTTACAGGCAAATGGAATGGCTCTGTTTGGCACGAGGGGTTACACATGCCGTTTCCTCTTCCTCCAAAGCCGAGCTATTTAATTTGTATGAACTGACAGGCATATCTTCCTCTCCTTCTCAATATGCACATCCTCTTTTTGGGTCATTGGCTGCTATTTTTTTTTTATTTAAAAAAAAACCCCACAAAGAACATTGCTTCTTCCTGAGGACAGGACGTCTCTCTCTCTCTCTCTCTCTCTCTCTCTCTCTCTCTCTCTCTGCCTAAATAAATGGCTCAAGTGGGTATAATTAAGAGTGCAAAAAGATTAGCATCGAGACATATATAATGCAGACAAGTGTGACATCACTGTAGAGACTTGGGGGCCAGGATGCAAAAAGTATTTCAATTACCTTGAGAAAATGTCCTTGTCCTCAGCATTAATTTATCTGGAATAACGATTGCGCTCTGGTTGCATACTCATAAAAGTTACTACTGATTACAACCCCAATTTTGACCCATTGGAAAGTCCCCATCTGTGCCCCAGTCTAGCCATCTTGACAGGGGATTCAAAAAACGTGGTTAAAGATGCAATCCTGAGGTGGCAGGGATGGGAAGAACTGAAGGCTGGAAGGGCAGACATACAGGTAAAGCGGTGTCCTCAAATTCCTCCATTTTTTTCCTGGTCCTCTGGGAAGAGAAATCCACTGACTAATCTCCAGGTGTGGTGTACAGTGGTACCTTGGGTTACATACGCTTCAGGTTACAGACTCCGCTAACCCAGAAATAGTGCTTCAGGTTAAGAACTTTGCTTCAGGATGAGAACAGAAATCATGCTCCGGCGGCACGGCGGCGGCAGGAGGCCCCATTAACTAAAGTGGTGCTTCAGGTTAAGAACAGTTTCAGGTTAAGTACGGACCTCCGGAACGAATTAAGTACTTAACCCGAGGTACCACTGTAGTTCTGTCTCTGGTCTGCTGCCTGTTGGAAGACTATTGACCTCTGCTGGGGCAAGACCTGTGGGACACAGGAAGATGCCCTCTACTGGGTCAAAACATTGGTCCATCTATGTCAGGGTTGTCTACGCCGCTGGTCTTCAACTGATGGGTTGGGACCCACACTCGCTCCAAGGCAGGTCACAAGAGCAGCACTACCACCATGCTAAAAGGTTAAGAAATGGGACCCCAAATGCATGTTTGGGGTGAAGGTGGGTCCTGGGACTTGTTGAAGGCTATCTGTCTATGCCAGGGGTTGGCAAGGCTTACTGGGCATGGGATGGACCACTCCCGTGGAGATCCTCTGTGGGCCGGACTGGCGCAGCGCGATGCCAGAAATCACGTCTGCACATGCCCAGATGCCAAAAATTGTGCCTGCGCAGAAGTGATTTTCAGTGTCTGGGCATGTGCAGAAGCAATTTTCGGCGCCGCGGACATCATAGCTGTCAACCGTCCCTTATTTGGCGGGAAACTCCCTTATCCCAGCGCCGTGTCCTGCTGCTATCCTGGATTGATGATGTCCCTTAAATTTCCCGGGTTTCATGCTCGCCCGGCTCGGGAGGGAAGCAGCAGCTCAGGGTCCTCTGCCGCGAGAGAGAGAGCACATACGAGCTGCCGCGTCTCCGTCTCTCCCTTTTCCCCCTCAGGGGTGCATGACGGGTGGTGGCAGGCGGGCAGGCAGTCCCTCTCTTGTGAGACTTCCGCCGCGCTGCCAGGGGAAGCCGGAGGCGGCTGAGGAGGCGGCCTGAGGGAGGAGGAAGAGGAGGGGATGGGCAGGGGCGCAGACGGGCAGCACTTCAGCTGCCGCTGCCGTGCTGCAACCGCCTCATGCCGGGCTCGCAGGTAAGAGTCTCTCTTCCTCCCTCCCTTTCTCTCGGGCGGGGAAGGGCCGATGGAACTCCTCGCACCAGGACAACAGCAGCCCCGACGTGCATAAGCTAAGCAAAATCCCTTATTTTGGCTGCTGATTCCTTATTTGCAGGGCTGCTGGTCCCTTATTTTCAAATCTGTAAGTTGACAGCTATGGTGAACATGCGCAGACGCAATTTCCGACATCTGGGCATGCGCAGAAGTGATTTCTGGAGCTGCAGAAGATAGTCCCTGCACCGCGCTGCCCTGGTATAGTGCAGCGGGTGGGGACTCGCCGAGTGGGCGGCTCAGTTTGGGGGCAGCTCATGTGCTGGTTAAATGGCCTCCGTGGGCTGCTTCTGACCCATGGGCCTTAGGTTGCAGACCTCTGGTCTTTGCCGATCCATTTCGCCACCACTAGTTGGGAGCAGCTGTTCAGGGTTCCAGACAGGGAGTCTCTCCTAGAGCTATCTGGAGATGCCAGGGTTTGAACCCGTGACCTTCTGCATTCAGAGCAGATACTCTGCCACTGAGCTCTGTACACTCCTGTAATGGCAGCAGAGGAGGCATCGGTCATGGCTCTCCCTCTTCAAGCCTGGACCTCTCTACACTGGTACCTTGGTTCTCAGACTCAATCCGTTCCGGAAGTCCGTTCCAAAACCAAAGCGTTCCAAAACCAAGGCACGCTTTCCCATAGAAAGTAATGCAAAACGGATTAATCCATTCCAAACATTTAAAAACAACCCCTAAAACAGCAATTTAGCATGAATTTTACTATCCAACGAGACCATTGATCCATAAAACGAAAGCAATAAACAATGTACAGTGGTACCTCGGGTTAAGTACTTAATTCGTTCCGGAGGTCTGTTCTTAACCTGAAACTGTTCTTAACCTGAAGCACCACTTTAGCTAATGGGGCCTCCTGCTGCTGCCGTGCCACCAGAGCCCGATTTCTGTTCTTATCCTGAAGCAAAGTTCTTAACCTGAAGCACTATTTCTGGGTTAGCGGAGTGTGTAACCTGAGGTGAATGTAACCTGAAGCGTATGCAGCCCAAGGTACCACTGTACTGCAGTCACACAGTCAATCCATCAGTAGCTGATCCATCAAATTGGAAGTGTAACACTCAAAATGGAGGTGTGGCACTCAAAAGGGAGGACATTTGGCTTCCGAAAAAAGTTTGCAAACCGGAACACTTACTTCCGGGTTTGCAGTGTTTGGGTTCCAAGTTGTTTGAGTACCAAGGTGTTTGAGAACCAAGGTACCACCGTATCCAGCTTCCAATGACTCCTGAAATGCCACCACCTGGGACCATCAAATTGTAGCCTCATAGAAAGGTTAGAAAAAGAAAATCTAGCCTATATTTTTTATAACAGCCTGCTTACTATGTCAGCAACGTTTTCAAAGCTCTTGTGGTTGGTTGGAAAAGAGCCGTTCCATCGCCGTCAGAGAGAAATCTGGAAAGGGTTTAATTTCCATCCTATCAGGGGTCAAGTCTCCACAAAGTCTCTTAACAAGCCAAGCCTGTCGTTACATCCCCCCCCCTTGACTTTTATCATTAATAGTCTGATTAGCAACCGCTTGGGAGCAGAAACGTCCATTGTGCAGAACACAGAAATTACGTTTCATCAGACATTGCGAAGCTCATCATTCATGTCATTGAAACCTTGGTGGAATGGAAGTACTTGAGAATATATTAGAAGGAGCAATCACAGTTTGCTCTTGGGGTGGGCAGCGTGACCTATAAGAGGTCCTTTGTACTTCCTCCGCTTCTAATATCTGCGATCGTTGACTTTTACCTCTGCCATTGTGCCGCTTAATTGTGACTCTTCCCCTTTGCCTACAAAGGAAGGGGGTGCCCCCTTTGCTTTCTGATTGCGACAAGCTTAGGTTCTGTTTTGTGTGTGGCTCAGCGGTCGGAAATCCACAAGGCACCTGTACTGCGAAATTGTTGGACTTCAAGGGACGATTGGGTTTTAAGTCGGCTTAGTAGCTGGGTGATGACGGCCGCCAATTCATGCAGTGACATCCGTGCCCCTCGGTCTCAAAAGAGATGGGGAAATAGAAAATTGAATGACACACATTTTTCGCCTCTTATGTCCTTTTCTCTTGCGTGCCCCTGTTGGTCTGCTAACGCGGATTAATTTAATCAGGGTGTGTGCCTTAAAACAAATATTAAATGTACTTCGTGCCTCTCTCTCTTTATCCCCCAATTCCAGTGGGTTGACCCTGATGTTAATCAAGAAGGGTCCTTTTGCACCTTCTCCCTGCTATCTGCAAAGTTTTGCATAATGTAATAGAGTCGGCTGATAGACTACAGCCCAGTGCTCCGAGATGGAGTGGGGGGGGGGTATCTCCTCTAGGAAGAAAATAAAAGCTTGAATATGTGCGTGGTGGGTGGGAGGGGAACTTTGATCAGGGCTTGGTCTCCTGAATCAGAATGACAGCTGGCTTCATTGGATTTCAGCAAAGCAATAAAAAAAGAAGGCAAAGAAAAGCCCAAACGGTGGAGCCTATTGTGAATAAATTGCTTGCTTCTCCTCATGCATAGCCATGTCTGTTGCGATTTTGTTCGTAATTTCTTTTCTAATTGTGTAAGTTACTTCCCATGAAATTCTATACAAGGAAGCGTTTGGCTGGGCATTGTTCTCGTCTTCAATTTAAGACATATGTTCTCCTGCAGATTGTGTAAATCAATATATTTCCCCGGCACAAGACCCGTGTTCAGAAACGGCCGGCGGCTTGTAGGGCCCCACAAGCGGAAGTGCCTCAACACTACAATTGTTGCAATGGGCATTGTTGCACCACCAGAGGATGATGATGATGATGATGATGATGATGATTAATTTAAGTCTCTATACCGCCCTTCACCTGAGGATCACAGGGAGGACTACAATATAAAAACACAAAAGTACACAACATATGTACCAAAACAATTCTCCCACAGTTTAAAAGATACAGGGTGGGCTTCAAAGAAATGAAAGCAGAAGGCAGGTCTCTGCCCCAAGGAGTTTACAATCTAAACTTAGTCTATGATAGTGATGTCCCTAGACAGGTTTCCCCTACTCTGATCTGTCATTTATTTTGAAGTAAGTATATAGCCCTCATGGAAAAAAGTTAGGGGCAAAACGTACAGGTACCTTCCAAGGGATAAATGCGAAATAAGAAATGTGATGTTGCCAATCTGCTATTAGGCAGCAACTGTGTGTGTGTGTGTGTGTGTGTGTGTGTGTGAACAATATTGTCTGATCTCCTCTAGAGTTGGACGATATATTGTCCAAAACCGTTTTGAAGTCCTTATCAGGATATTGGTTTCATAATTTCTGACCCGGCAATGTATTGCAAATCACGATGTGTGTGTGTGTGCTATGCAAAAATCACAATGCAGGGAAAACCGTGAAGCCAGCCAGTTACTCTACATAGCTCCATCCTTATTTCAGACATCGTGAATATATCAGTATGTCGCAATGTTTAGCTGGCGATGGTACTTTTTTTCTGGGGGAAAGCAGGGTACGCATACCCCTAAACATTTTGTGAATCTTTGTAGTTTAGTCCATTTACTATATTTATTTTTCCCGATTTGAACTATAAAATGGTGTTTTCTTGAGTCAAAATGAGAGTACCCCTAAACAATTTTTTGGGGGGGGGGAAGCACTGGCTGGCGAGGTAAAGGGTAAAAGTACCCCTGACCGTTAGGTCCAGTCGCGGATGACTCTGGGGTTGCGGCGCTCATCTCGATTTATGGGCCGAGGGAGCCGGTGTTCAGCTTCCGGGTCACATGGCCAGCAGGGCTAAGCCGCTTCTGGCGAACCAAAGAAGCGCACGGAAACGCCGTTTACCTTCCCGCTGGAGCGGTACCTATTTATCTACTTCCACTGGTGTGCTTTCAAACTGCTAGATTGGCAGGAGCAGGGACCGAGCAACGGGAACTCACCCCATCACGGGGATTCGAACCGCCGACTTTCTGATCGGCAAGCCCTAGGCTCTGTGGTTTAACCCACAGCACCACCCGTGTCCCCCTGACTGGCAGTATATCACAGTGCTAAAAACCAGATATCACCCAGCCCTAATCTCCACAAACTGGTCCAGCAGTACATAGCTGACTTCTCACGTTCAGCTTGCAGTTGTCAGGGGTGACAACATACGCCAAAGCAGCTATTTTGTGACTGCCGCCAGCACTCTCAAAATTCAAAATGTGTTCACCTGTCCAAAAAGGGTTGGCAACTCTTGTCGCAGGACATACTTACTGCTCGCAGGACACAGAAGTTAAGCCCAGGTGCCTTAACTTACAGTTCCCTTCCTCTATCTGCCTCATTGCAGTATGCACTGACTATCGGAGATGGAAGATATTCAATATGGGAACTTTTCCATGGAAGGAAGCTGGTCCGCCACTGAGGGAATGAACTTACAGCTGCCGTCCTAGATGTGCATATTTCAAAGTCAGGCTTGTTGAGATCCGTGGGGTTTTGCTTTCGAGCAAACGTGAGTTGAGATCCGGCTGGGAATTTAGCTTTGTTGCATTTGCTAAAACTGGCACCTAAGTGTTGTGTGTGTGTTTAGGAGGGTGGGAAGTTGTATTTTTTAATGAGATTAACGCAGGTCAGGCTGTCGTCATGTACCTACCAGTTCGCTTCAGAAGGACGGTTCCTGAAGGTCGTTTTACTTGCCATAACTGTTCCTTCAGAGTGGGGTGGAAAGGGACGCTTGATTTTGATCGAGTGTAAACAATAAAAAAATAAGGTGCTGTATCTACAGGAGTCCAGACAGTAGTCCTTTCTCATTCCATCAGAAAGCTTTTCAGAATGGAAACGCAGAACAAAAGGTTTTATCTGGCTGATAATTTAGCCCCGGAGGACTTTGGAGATATGACGCAGCTTCACATTTGGCAGATACATCCAAGTCCTTTTGCCTACAGTTTGGTAGCAGATCGGATGAAAAACGGAACAAAACTTTAGAGGAATGTTGCATGAATTTCAATGATGGCAAGATCAGACAGTCCATCCGAAATGAATATTCTACTGATTTTTTGTTGTTGTTCTTTTTTCTAAGGGCATGTAACTAGGGGCTCCTCCAGACAATCTGTTTACAGTGGTACCTCGGGTTAAGTACTTAATTCATTCTGGAGGTCCGTTTTTAACCTGAAACTGTTCTTAACCTGAAGCACCACTTTAGCTAATGGGTCCTCCTGCTGCTGTCGCTCTGCTGGAGCACGATTTCTGTTCTCATCCTGAAGCAAAGTTCTTAACCCAAGATACTATTTCTGGGTTAGCGGAGTCTGTAACCTGAGGCGTCTGTAACCTGAAGTGTATGTAACCCGAGGTACCACTGTATTGCGCTTTTGTCCTGCTTTGCTTGCACAATGCTTACGCAGAGCTTAGATCAGTCCCGGGTTTATGTATAAGTTAAACAAGCTATAGCTTAGGGCCCCACTCTCTTGAGGGCGCCCAAAAAAATTAAAGGGAAAAAACTGGATGTACATTTCAAAAATTTAAGATAAAAAACAAATAAAATAAAACCTACATACAGCAACGGTGTTTTG